TGCTATAAACATTGATGTGGCTGTGTCCCTGTAGTATGCTGTTTTTAAGTCCTTTGGGAATACTCCAAGGAGAGGGATAGCTGGGTCAAATGGTGATTCTATTCCCAGTTTTCCAAGGATTCTCCATACTGTTTTCCATATTGGCTGCACCAATTTGCAGTCCCACCAGCAATGTATGAGTGTACTTTTTTTCCCCACATCCCCGCCAACACTTATTGTTGTTTGCATGCATAATAGCTGCCATTCTGACTGGAGTGAGATGAAATCTTAGACTAGTTTTGATTTGCATTTTTCATATATTTGTTGATTGATTGTATATCCTCTTCTGAGAATTGTTTTTTCGGTTCCTTGTCACCCATTATTGATTGGGTTATTTGGGGTTTTTTTGGTGTTCAGCTTTTTGAGTTCTTTATATACCCTAGAGATTAGTGCTATATATGTGGTAAGAATTTGTTCCAAATTAGTAGGCTCTCTGTTAACCTCACTGATTTTTTCTTTTGCTGAGAAGAAGCTTTTTAGTTTGAATCCATTCTATTTATTAATTCTTTATTTTGCTTCTTGCACTTATAGAAGTCTTATTAAGGAAGCTGTGGCAAGGTCTCTGGTTTAATTTCCTAGGTCCTTGATCCACTTTGAGTTTTGTGCATGGTAAGAGGGGTTTAATTTCATTTTGTTGCATATGGATTTCCAATTTTCCCAGCACCATTTGTTAAAGAAGCTATATTTTCTCCAATGTACATTTTTGGCACCTTTGTCTAATGTAAGATAATTGTAAATATGTGGGTTAGTCTCTATGTCCACTATTCTGTACATTGGTCAGCAAGTCTATTTTGGTGCCAATACCATGCTGTTTTTGTTACTATTGATCTGTAGCATAGTTTAAGTTCTTGTATAGTGATGTCACCTGCTTCACTCTTCTTGCTAAAGTTTGCTTTAGCTATTCTGGGTCTCTTATTTTTCCAGATGAATTTCATGACTCTATTTTCTATTTCTGTGAGGAATGTCATTGGGATTTTGATGGGAATTGCATTAAATCTGAATGGTGCTTTTGGTAGTGTGGTCATTTTGACAATATGAATTCTGCCTAGGCGAGAACAAGAGAGATCTTCCCATCTTCTAAGGTCTTCTCTTTTCCACCGCCCTTTGATGTGGGCATTGACCTTGGCCTGCCAGCCGATCCTGCCTTTTCCATTCTCTGGTAACTGTCTCAAGTTTTCTGGTTTCAGGAACAGAATATGGAGATCAACCCCAGGCTTTTGATGGTCAAATAGGTACATTGTCCTCCTGTGGGCATCACTGAGAGTGTGACACTGGGGATCCTGCCTGGGTGTAGAGTCCACAGAGTAGGGATGGCAGGCTGTGAATGGAAGCCACTGAGAGCTAGTAGGAAATGGAAAGTGCAGAGGACAGCTGACCGTGGACAGCTGACCGTAGTGCCGTCAAATGTGTCTCAGAGGCAGAGCTCTGCAACTGCAGCCCTGGAACAGGTACATCTCTGCTGCTCTCAGGAGTCTGAGATGGGCGTCCTACCCTTTGAGAGAGAGAGAGAGAGAGAGATGAACCTATAAAAATCCTATATACCAGGCAATTGGAAACACTGGCAATATTTTTAAACAAACATCCATTTTTAAAATGGCCTATTATTATGACATGATAGGTTAATATGTTTAAGCCACTAAACTTTAATAGGCTAAGTCCTAAATTCATACAAAAAGTATGTAGGAGAAATCTCCCAAAGGCCAAATAGAAAGCTGTACTCCAGCCATTTGAAAATGTGATTGGTAAAATAATGCTCAAGTCATAAAACTCAGGGAATTCTAAATGGCCCTAAGGGAGGAGTTTGCAGTGACAGAGGCTTGCCCTTCTCTCCCAGCTCCTGGAGCTAAGCTGCATGTCACCCTGCTGATGGAGGAGGTGCCCAGAGAGGCCCTCCCCACGGGCTCCCAGGGCAGTAGTTCACCTCTATTGACATCCCCTCGACGGGTGACTTTTAGGTCCCAGCTGCAAATACAGCAGGTGGAGGAAAGGGCACCAAACCCCTTCCTGCCTAATGGAGGGAAAAGACACAAACAAAAGAAGGTCTGTGGGATTTTCTCCAGATCTGACGGACGGGATGCCTGTGCACTCAGTGAGCACTTTGCAGCTCGCTTGGCAGCCTGTCCGCTGAGTTTGTGGGCTGCTGGTCCCAGGCTGTTAGCAGGAGGCTGTGGTAACAGGCAGTGATGTTGACAGAAGGTGACTTTGACTTGCTCTTCATCTGACTGAAGGGGCACGAGTATCTGTATCTCATGCCCCATGAGCCGCTGACCTGCACACTCTTGACTGATTCAAAGCATGGACAGTCAGCCCTCCAGGACACTTCACACTCTAGGAGAACTACCAGTGCCTACAGCAACCTGTTACAGCCTCCAGAGACAGTCATAGTCGTCTTATATCCTATGCAACTCACTGGAATTTCTCGGGTCTCCTCTTAATTTTAAAACGGTTGTGATCTTTCTGCAGCTCATGTGTTTGTTTTCTAGAATCAGGTTGGGTTATTTATTTTGTCACTGTTTTCAAAACAAACAGTTTATTTATCTGCTTATAAAATTAGTGGCTGCTCATGAAAGAAAATCCCAGATACAAAAGTTATTTAATATGGCATGTGTCTTTCCAAAGTTTTCTATACCCATGAATTCACGCAATTATGAAGTGGGTGGCAATGAGTATCTATGTGCCTTCTCTGAGCGAGGTTCTTGGGGAGTTGGCTCTGGTTTGCCAAAGCCTCCTGCTTCCTTGGGCCTGTCTTGAGGACTGGCTTCTGGTTTTGCTCTGCATTTCTTACCACCTGCCTGCCCTCATGATGTCCTCGCTGATCCTCTCCAACAGGGCTCTGGGCTTCTGCTTCCTTGAGTTCTCACTGGAACGCAGCTGACCCCAGGGCTCAGATTCATAGCTGACATTAATTAATGTGCCACAGCCCCGCTCTCTGCTTTTGTCACATGACTCTGCTTGACCCATGGCTTCCATACCTGTTCTAAGAACAGAGCTTCTCTTGTGGACACCTTGCCTCAGATCTCAAATCCTGCCCTGTACTCTCTGACTCACATTGCTTACGGCTCTGATCCAAACTAAGTATTTTTACTAAAATTAGAAACATGATAGAAACAAGTTTCTGAGGTGGTGTGGGGGCTTTCTAGGTCTGTTGGAACACACTGCACACCTGTGGGTAGTGAGAACAGCAGAGCGTGATTCTCACCCAGTTCTCAAAGCCAGAAGTCTGAGACCTAGGTGCCAGCAGGGTCATGCTCCCGGTGAAGGTGCAGGGGGAAGACCGCCCCCCACCCCCGGGCCTCCTCAGTGTCTGGTGGCTTCAGGAGACCTTGCCTTTTGGCAGTGTCACTTCATTTTCTGCTGCATCTTCATGAGACCTTACGTCTGTGATGAGCATCCTCTCCTCATCTCACGCCAACACTGGGGATGGGCTTTCAGGTGTCCCCGGACTGAGGATGACTTCATCTGGGGACTTCAAAGGCCTTATTTCCAAGTGAGATCCGTTCTAAGGTTCTGAGTGGACACAAATTCTGGGGGAAACCCACCCCCTACAGATAGGAATACCTGAACAGAATCCGCAGAGAATAAGAGGAAATCCAGGGCATATCTTCAAACAGGTTTGAATGCCATATGTTTTTTAAATAAATTCAGCATCCCATCCCAACCATGAGCAATTCAGACCATCATCCCCTAAGATTATTATGTGAAACTGGGAGAACCTTGGGGGAATGGAGATATAAATAAGCAGAAGGTAGTTTCTGTCCAGCACCTTGGTAACTGGGAGGGCTGTTAACAGGGCAGTGCGGTAGTAAAGAATATGTCAGCATGAGATCAGCCTTTAGTCCTGTGGAGAAGAAATGAAGTCATCAGAAAAGGCTTCAAGGAAGAGTCTGGAAGGATAGACAAGACTTGAAAGGGGAAGAGGGCTTCAGGTAAGTAGAAACAGGAATGAGCAAAGAGTACAGGGATGTAAAGATTGGCCTGTTTCAGTGTCACAGTCTGATTGGAAGATGTGGTCAATATCTAGGGTCAGGGGGTCAAAGACTCTGGTCTGTGTGCCATTGTGGTCTCAAGATCCGAGTAGATACTGAGACATGCATTTGTCTACACTGCGCTCCAGCATCTCTGACATGACAGTTCAGCAAAGCCAGAGAGGATGTAGTTGGAAGCACCCACAGAAGTGTGGGAGGTGGAAGGCAGGCAATGGGGAACCAGAAGATTCCAGAATGCTGTTGCCAGGCACGAGCAGCAGAAGACACAGGAAGCAAGTGAACCCTCACCACAAGGCCCCAGAGAGGTCCGGGAAGCAAGGATGGCATCGGGGTGGGGCGGAAACACAGGGACAGGAAAAAGTCTACACAGGAAACAGATGTCCAATCTCTTCCCAGACGACACCACCAGGCGAGCACCCAGGCCCAGAGGAGGACTGGCCTGTTAACAGCCGTCCCATTTACCAAGTGGCTGAGTCCAGTCTTCAACTCCTGCCAGTTGAACACAAAAGGCCCTGGACTGAGGACCAAAAATCACTGAGGATGCAGGTCCTTAGGGAAATAGGGAAACTGAGTGGAAATCTACATATCAAATGCAGAGCTGCCCCAGTCCTCCTTCCTGCCTGACTGAAGATGCTGAGAAAGACCATGAAACTACCCACCCACCCCCAAGCAGAATTCCTCCCTAGGGGAACACCTGCCCGAGTAAAGATCCCACCTGTGGATAGTCTGCTTTTTGTTGCATCCACAGTAGCAGCTTTGGAGCCCTGAATGACTACCCTGTGATGAAAGCCACCTGTGATGAGCCCTGTCTGTGCCCACTCAGTGTCCCCAGCTGTTGGTGTCTCCCTCCTGGATACAAACAGGCAACCAAGGAAGGCTTAAGACGTTAAGAAAACTTACAATGAAAGAAAACAACCAGAGAATGGAAAGTACAGAGACCATCCAGGGAACACAACAGAATCATGTAAAAATCATTGCTGCAGAGGGGTCAGGAAAGATGGGACGTCTCAAAACAAAATAAGGTGTTTAAAAACAAAATACCTATTTTGGCAGAAAAGCACAAAGCGCTTGTAAAATTTAGAAGCAGAAACTAAGGTGTTAGTCTAAGATCTCACCATGGTTGGCTGGGGAAAAATGCTAGAAGGAGCATTTTCTCACTCATCTCTTCATTTCTAGTCCAAAAGGTCTTCATTTGTAATTTCCTTCTCCCTGGTACCAGAGTTTAGGCCAGGCTCCCAACCTGGGCTCCCAACAAATCAGGGCCCGCCTCCCACCCCAAAGGTAATGGTGAGTATAGGTAAGGAACTCTGTCCACGTGGCCACCCTGGGCAGGAGAAGTGGGATCGAGCATCCAACCCCGTCTTCCAGGAACAGACAGGAGCTCCAGTTTAAACAGGAGAGTTGGGGTAGGGGCAACAGACCTGCGCAGCTAAGCATTCTTGGCCAGGCGGTGGTCTGGGTGATAATTAGCAGTTCTGGTTCTGCAAAGGGTTTCCAGTCTCCACTGCTGCTCAGGGTGCTGATCTAGCAGACCTGTGATCCTGAAAGGGGAAATCCAGCCCCGGGAGGTGACTGCCCCTGCTTGGGGGTCGGCCTCATGGTGAGATGATCTGCCTGAAGCTTCTCTGTTCCTGGATGGTGCAGGGCATGACCCAGAACCTCAGGTGCTACTCCAGGTATCAGGAAGAGGACATGGAGCAGGAATCTTAAAACCCTTAGTTCTTCTTGGCTTGCTGTCCTCAGTCTTCAAGGGGATAAGATAGGCTAGGTAAACTTAGGGCTGCTAAACCATACATTTCCAACTTCTAGATGAACACTCCTTAAATGATTAGTGTTCCTGCAGACAGAGCTGAGCAGGAATCTGTGGACAGATGGAAAATGAAGACAGAGACACCAGGCTCTCTCCTCCTTCCAGTTACCCATTGGGCATCTCCAGGCCAAATGAAGAGTCACTGCTTTTAGCAAAGGCAGCTTCTAATGCTCTGTGATGTCCCAACTTTACCTTCCACTATTTCCATGTTTATTTTAATTTATAAATATCACATTTTAAAAGAATTTCAGAAAAAGATTCTTACATATGCTATGATTTTGATATTTTTTCTCATATTTAGAGCTCAGTCCTCTCCATCCCCCACCCTCCCCCCCCGAAGTTTTGTCTTAGCTTCAATTCTTCTTTATCCAGGCTGGATTCTGTGAAGTCTCCAAGCACCAGAGTGAAAACACAGAAGAATGATGAGCCATGCAAGGGTTAGTAATTGATGTTTTTAAACGCTATGCCTTCTGTCTTCAAGATTTCCTCCCTCATTGTGTTAGGAAATATTCTCAGAGAATCTGAGAGCTGAACATTTTTCATTTCTTAGGAATGTAAAATTTCTATGCACCTGTCATTTCGCAATTTCTATGAGGCCAAGAGTAATTTTCACAAGGGCTTGAAATTAAAGGTAACATAATTCCTCATGAACTCTGTGACCTCGAGAGCTGAAAACTACAATATAGAGTGTGTGTCCCTCTTCAGAAAACAGTACGTGTTTTCTAGTAAAGGACTTTCTTATTGGAAGAAACACATTACATACTTTCAAAATCTTCCATAAAATTCAGCTATTTTTAACCTTATCTATCCCTGTCGATATAAAAAGTTATCAGAAAGCATCTTTCTAAAGGAAATCGAGATTCTGATGATAATACAACTCTTTCAAAGAAATCAGTGTTCCCTCTGTGTCCCTGTGTCCTCTCCTCATCTCAGGCAGAATCTGGTCATTGGCTTTCTGGTGACCCCGGATCCAGGATGACTTCATCTTGAGATCCTTAGCCAACTACATCGTCCAAGGTCCTACTTCCATGTGAGACCCGTTCTAAGGTTCTAAGTGGACACTAATGGGGGATATGCCATTCAACCCACTACAGACAGGAGTATGTGTTCAAACCCATAATCTGAACAGGATTTACAGAGACTAAGGGGGAGAAAAGGGGGACATCTTCAAACAAGTTTGAAGGCCATGTAAAATGTTCTTCTTTGCAGCAGTAAGCGTGGAATTGGAGGTGATGATGTTCGGTGAAATGAGCTAGGCACAGAAAGACAAATACCACATGACCTCACTCATTTGTGGAATGTAAAAAGTCAGTCACAGAGAAGAACAGAGCATGATAGTGCTCAGTGGATCCTGGGAAGGGCGGAGGGGAGAGGAGGTGGAAAGCAGTTAGAGAAAGGGACTGTATAACATTTAGAAAGGACTAATTAATACTGGCTTCTATGGCACAGCAGGGTGATTATTAGTTGTAACAGTCTCAGATGTATTTCACAAGAACTAGAAGAGCACAGATGCCCAGCACAGACGTGATTGATGTTTGAGGAGATGAAAGTTCTTATGATCCTGACTGGATCACTACACATTAGAAGCCTTTCCATTTTTTAACTACATTTTTGATAACAGGAAGATTTTAATAATCAAGTCCAATTCACCATTTTTTCTTTATTGTTTATGTCCTTTGTGTAAGAAATAAGTACCTAAGCCAACATCACAAAGATGCCGTCTTAGGCTCTATTCTAAGGGTCTTAATTCCTGAATTCAAGTGTGCGATCCACTGTGAGTTATTTTTCACGTTACCATGAGGTGTGCATCGAGGTTGGTCTTCCTCTTTCGAGTATCCATGTCCTCCTGTGCCAGCACCGTTGGCTAAGCAGATGGCCTTCTCCCCGCTGAGCCACTCTGCCTTGTTGTGCGTGGAAGACTCTTGCCGTGGTCTACTCTGGACCCACAGCAGCAAGTGCTGTCTGCCACCCTCCCCTGGTGTGCCCTGTGGTCTTACACTTTCCGACATGGTTAAACCCACGGCATGTTATTATTAAGCACTTAGATTTTTGAAGAGCTTTAAAAATGGCCATGATACCTTCCACTGTTATCCACATACTGAGTGGCCCCAGTGGTCCCCATTCCCTGCTCCTTCATGTAGCTCCATGTTTCCATCCTGCATCGTTTCTTCTTCCTAAAGAGTTTCCATTAACATTTTTAGTGCAGATCATCTGGGACTGAATTCTCTCAGCTTTTGTTTGACCAAGAAAATGTTTAAGAAGAAATACCTATATGTTGCCTTATTTAAAAATATATATTTTTGTTTAAATTAGAATTCTGTTAATGATCTTTTTCTCTTCCAGTACTTCAAAAATAGTCACCCATTCTCTGCCTTATGTAGATTCTGACAAGAGGTGTGCACCTCTGATATAGCAAATAAAGTTTTAATTTCAAATATTGCACTTGTTCTCTAGATTACATGAAATTTTTTTAAAAACATCTCATTGCCATCATATTAATATTTCCTTTTCTCCTTGGCCTTTTTGAGAATACTGACACCAGCTCCTCTAATAGGAAATTTCTGAAAAGACTTTTGGTTCACCTGCCAGAGACGCCATCTTTGTTACTCTGCATCTTTGTTTCCTTGTCTGTGGCTATAGCTGCTTTCAGATGGTCTCTTTATCACTGATTTTTAGAAATATGATTGCTACAAATCTTGATGTAATATTCTTCCTTTTTCTTCTGCTTGGGTTTTGTCAACCTTCTGGGTTCTGTAGATTTATCATTTATAATAGAGAAATTTCTTGCCATTTATTTCTTCAAAAACTTTCTGTCTCCCATATTGGTCTCCTTCGCTAAGGTTTCAATTCTACAAAACCACATCATATGGCCACCGATGTTCTGTTCAATTCTTTTTTCAGTCTCTTCTCTCTTTGTTTCCTTTGGATAATTTCTTTGGTTCTGCTATTTCTTCTACAGTGTGTAACCTGTGAATTTATCTTCACTTTCCAGTGTTGGACTTATTCTTCTCTGGGTACCATTTGGGATTTCTAGAAAGAATTCTTTCCTTATCATGTTCATATTTTCCTTTGTAACCATTGGCATATTATTTACAATAGCTCTTTAACTAATGTTATCATTTCTAACTATTGCTATTTTTCCAGGTTTGAGATCATATTTTTTCTTCTTATTTGCATGTACAGTGGATATAGATGCATTCCAGAAATCATGAGTTTTGTGTTGGTTGGGTGTTACATTTCTCATAAGCTTTTATAAAGCTGTAGACTTCGGTTTGGTCTCCAGGTAAGACTCTTTAGATCCATGTGCTTCTTTATGGGCTTGCTTTTCAACTGTATTTTGATGGGCCCATGGCAGCCTTTAGACTATAAAGACTAGTTCTCAACACGTTTAGTGCTAAGTAGTGTAAGAACTCCAAGTGGGTGCATATCCAGGGCTAGAGGCTCTCTCCTACAGGTTTCTGTTTTCAAACATAGTTTTGCCCACATGAGCATGGAGTAAGAGTGGACAGAGGGTTTTGTGGGTGAGGGTTTTCTATCCTTCCATTCTGGCCTTATATAAAGAGTTTTGTTCTATCCCCATCAGACCTCAAGAGACTACTGCCCTGCAGGTCACAGATGCCCAGCACCTGAGACGGGGTCTGTCTCTGACCCTCTCAGGGAGGTCCTGCTCCCATGTTCAATGCTCTCAGGTCCCACTGGGGCTTTGGATTCAAATCCCTTCTCATTTTAGTGCCTGTTTCAGTTCTTCCTCTTGCAGTCTCAGCTGTGCTTTTGGACTTGACATTGACCACAGGTAACTCAGCATTTGCCTGTTCTGAGCATGTGCATGCTCCTAGGTTGAGGGCAGGGCACTTCTTGTCCAAGCTCTCTGGAGTACAGGCTGCAGTGCCCAGGACATCGCCTACAGAAGATGGTCCGGGGACTCGTGGGTGCCTCGTGTTTTAGTCAGCTTTTCACTGCTGTGACTAAAAGACTTGACAGGAACACAGAGGAGGAAAAGTTTATTTGACTCACAGTTTCAGAGGTTTCACAGTCTACAGATGGCTGCCTTCATGGATCTGGACCCAAGGTGAGGCAGAACATCATGGAGGAAGGGTTGGAGGAAGAAAGCACTCAGCATGCAGCCCCAGGAAGCAAAGAGAGAGACTCCCCTCACCACTACAAATACAAACCCCAAGGCCATGCCCCCAGGGACTCACCTCCTCCAGCCACATCCTGCCTCCACCGAGTTAATCCCTATCAGAGGATTAATGCACGGATTAGGTTAATGTTCTCATAACCCATCAAGTCACCTCTAAGCTTTCTTGCATTGTCTTTCGTGTGAGGTTTGGGGGAACAACTCACATCTAAACCATAGTATTCCACATTTACTGGAAGGACCACTGACCAAGAAATTTGGGTCTATATGTGAACCTTCCTGTGCACCTATTAAAAGGTGCCTTGTTTTTCTCAGTGTCCAAAATTAAAAGCTGTATCTCTTCATAGTACAGGTTGTAAGAAAAAGACAGTGCACAGGAAACTCAAGGTTTCATGCCTGTCAAACAGTACTTACCCCAGGGTCGCCCTCCTGAGACTTCCCCTCTCTTCATTTTAATTGTGCAGCTCAATCAAGCAGTAGCAGTCTACACGCAGAAAACAAAAGGTGTCCCTCGATGTAATCGCTCTGACTTCCTTGTAGTTAGCAGAACCTTCAGTTTCTTAAGAGATTTTAGGCATTTTTTTCATAGACCGTTCTTGGTGGTGAAGGGTTGATATCACATTGTTTTCGTTAATTTTGTTTTCCTTGGAGCGATTCTGTGAGTATCTGTTCTGGGGTCCCCTGTCACAGCCCTTTGGAGGTGACAAAAGCAATGTGGACAGTTTTCTCATAAGAAATGGTTTCCTCCCTCATAGGCCATCTTATCACAAAAGGGAGAACATGATGGAATTTAGAAGTTAAATAAAATTCTTCCAAAAGAGACAATACTTTCCAACCTTCTTCCTAATGAATCCAGCCGAGAGTTAGAGATACCAACTTGGCTTTCTATTTCAGACTGTCAGAATTTCCAGACATCGGTGTCTAGGTCTGGCAGGGTGAATGCAGGACTAGAGATGTCCTGCATGTGTCCCCTCCATCCCTCCTCTACACTTTCCAAGAATCTAATTTCTCTTTCCACTTGCAGAATTAACTTAGGCCCAGGGGGCAAAGTCCTGTCTCCACCTCAGTTGAATAATATCTGCTGGCTCCAGATGGTATTCTCACAAAGGACGACCTTTACAATCTCTGAAAATTCCACATGATCCAAAATGGGTCCCATCTTAATTTTATTAAACTGGTGAAAGCTGCTTTCTAAAATTCTTCTAGAAAATAGCCTGATTAAATGTTGAAGTTAACAGTGATGGTTTTCCAGACAGAAGAGACAACTGGCTCTTGGCTAAGTCCCTACATCCTCACCTCCAGGCTTATCGACTGGCACCTGCTAACTGCCAACAGCAGAGGCCCATGCTGAATCAAAGCTCCTGTCCCCAACACAAGGTCCTCCTTCCCTCCACACACCTGCCACCTCCTCTCATTTTCTCTATAATAAACTCTGTTCCCCAGCCCTGCAGTAGTTGCTGACCACAGGCACAAATGAACAATCCTTCCAGGGACATCTCCAGGTGCTGGATCCTCAAAGCAGCCCTGGATTGGGGTTAGACTGGCACTGGCGGCCACTTCCAGGGAAACAGCTCAGGAAAAGCAGGTCCCTCCACACCTTAGCCACACCTGCCCCACCTCGAGTTGTTCCATGATGAATTTTTTAATTTTCAAAAGTGTCCCACAACTTAACACAGGAATTGAAGCCATTAGGGAGGAAGGTTTTTTGTTTGGGGACAGAGGCACCCAAGCTCTCCACGCAGGCCTCTTCCTGATCCTTTGACTTTTCTCTTCTCATTTGAATGTTCTTTATTTTGCCTAAAGTGTGCCGCTACTTCCTGTCATCTCTGCCCTTCAGGAAGTGCTTGGTCCCCACCTTTGCTGGTGAGCAGCCTGCTATTCCCATGCCCTGGGTGTCGCATGAGCCCCCAGCAAGTCACAGAGATCCCCAGGAAGCTCCTCCCCACCCTGCCCCAGCATTGCCCAGAGGAGACAGACCTGCCCACCAGGAGGCCTCACCTGGTCCTGCACCCCTGAGAACACTGGGCACAGGCTGGCTTGCAACCCACAGCTGGTAGATCTGTTTAAGATTCCAAATTCTTGCTTTCCACATAATTTAGATCAAGACTTGAAATTTGAGAAAAGTACCTTCCCGTGAGATGGCCTCTGTGAGAGCGGGTCCAGATCTGTGCTGCGGGGGCTGGGGAGCTGTTGGTTCTTGTAAATCACCTTCATCCAGGGAGCTGCCAATCCTCCCCAGACACCAGATCTAATCTGACAAGTGGCCTCCACGCGGGGAAGACAAGCAGATATGGGTGGATGAGAGGAGGAGAGGACAGGAGAAGAACTCGGCTTGGGCACTCAGTGAGTTCGGCCACCCCTG